GAGGTTGAGGTGAAAAAACAGTGCAATTTTCTAACTGTGCAACAGAGGCATTTCAATAGCAAAACGAAGAGCATTATCGGGTGAAAATCCACATCCATGCATGAATCAGTAGAGCAGGCAGTGTCCTTTTTCCAACAGAGCAAAGCAGAGGTTGAGGTGAAAAAACAGTGCAATTTTCTAACTGTGCAACAGAGGCATTTCAATAGCAAAACGAAGAGCATTATCGGGTGAAAATCCACATCCATGCATGAATCAGTAGAGCAGGCAGTGTCCTTTTTCCAACAGAGCAAAGCAGAGGTTGAGGTGAAAAAACAGTGCAATTTTCTAACTGTGTAACAGAGGCATTCCGAAAGCAAAACGGAGAGCATTATCGGGTGGAAATCTGCATCCATGCATGAGAAATCCCTCGATTCCCAAGATCTATCAAAATGATGTTGTAATATTAGTATGTTATGCTTGGAGTAGCGGACTAGTAATTAATTAGTTAGAATAGCTAGTTAGTTTTGTGTTGTACTTATTTAATTAGTTAGAACAGCTAGTTAAATTTGTTGTTATAATAATTAGTTAATTAGCTAGTGTAGTTATCTTATTTCATTTGGTTTTTAATAGTTAGTTAATTCGTAGAAATTAGCTAGGGCATTCATTCGGACCCTCCTGCACGAGGGCAAACTTGTAATAATGTATATATCTTCCAACCCCACGTCTTTCTCCATTTTATTTATCCGCTTATGATGTGTAGTTTAGAACATTACGTTTCTTTTAGCATTTCCCATGTTTGCATCCATTTATCTTACATGCATGAGGTTCGGCTCATCATTCTAAACAAAGCATTGTAGTTTACATACTTCGTTGAAAATGTGTTGAAACTGCATGCTATCAAGTTGTTTCAAATGCATATTTGTGGCCGAGCCTATTAATTACATCTTGTATGTGTTGCATTAGGCATATTTTGCATTAGTTAGGACCATGCATTTTTCTAACTAGTTTCTCTTTTGGCTCGCCTCGAGAATTGGGGTAAGCATTTATTGCTTTAGCATATTGCATAAGTGTGATTGTTGCCATGTCTAGCATGAATACCATGAAAGGCAACAACCCATACCAAAAAGTCAAAGATTCTCTTTTCTCTCTACTTTTTGCACATCCTTTCGTAAAAAGCCAAAAAGTCATCCCAAACATACTAGTTTTTTTTACCTACCTTTCTAGCCAAATAGTCAAAAAGTTACTAAATTAGCCAAAAA